TAAAGAATGTATTTGCTAAATTTGTGTAAGCAGTACACATCAAAACATGCATAATCAAAATGCAGTACGTACTAGATTCATCGTAATAACGAGTCATAAATGCATCCACAGCTGTAAATCCTGGTTTAGTTAGAAAGGTAAGGGTCCACTGAACAACATTCCATAGAGCACTTTTAGTCCAATGAAACAATAACGTTGTAATATGGAGGGTAATTCCTTTGTTTACATCTCATTTCTTCAGGCACAGTTATTGTTTGTATAACGTACGCTCAAAAAACTGCATCTTGGTAGTAAAAAGCAACATGGTTTTGTAGTATACAGTGTCACAAACAGAATGAGACCATCCACTCAAAAAAAAAAGTCAAAGATACGCAGAATATTGTTTATTTGAATTTTGGCGCTCTCTCGTGACGGCTAATAACGCACGCTGTGACTGATGGGGGCTAGGGATGGGAAGATTTCCCGATTCGCTCGGTGCATCGGCTTAAAAAGTAAAAACGTTATCGGTGTAAAAAGTGTGCATCAGCTACAAATTGTCATTTATATTGCGATGCATCGTTTCTAACATATTTGCATCGGTAAAAACCGATTCATTTATATACAATTAATAGTGGATGTGCTATACTTTTATTATTTAGAAAGGGACCAATATTTTATATGTAGATTGATTTCTCCTCTCTAAACTGTTTCTCAAGTGCGCTCTCTCATCACTGCTGCTGCTTGAATATGACGCATCACAACACCAGGGAGACCAAGTCCAAAACCTGACTTGAAATAACCTAACAAATCACTCTGGGCTAAAGCGGTTCCATAAATGACAAATTAAGTTCACACAATCTCACTAATTTGTGCACGCTTATTCTTTAGCAGACCTTAATGTCGATAATCGATCCACCATGACAAACAGGGAATATCTGTGCTGTTTAATGCATTTGAGAAGTTGTGTTTTCCTCAGTGCATAACTGACATGCCACAGGTATATTTTTCATCTGTAAATGTTAGAAAGTCATGCAAACATATCCATTTTGCTGTCAGGAGTGAGTGGGTGAGGCACGCGAGTGAACGAGCACTGCTGCACGCATGCGCACTAAACAGATGGAGCGCAATCGAATTTTTACTCAGAACAATAATTCTGAGTAAAATATACATTCTGATTAAAAAAAATGTTTTTGGACATTAAATGTGTCTTTTGTAGAATTTAAAACCTACATGTAAAGTGTATTTTTATGACAGCAGTAGCTGTAAGTGGACTATTGTAATGGGTAAATCAAATGTAAGATATCTGTGCTGTTTAATGCATTTGAGAAGTTGTGTTTTCCTCAGTGCATAACTGACATGCCACAGGTATATTTTTCATCTGTAAATGTTAGAAAGTCATGCAAACATATCCATTTTGCTGTCAGGAGTGGGCATGCGCACTAAACAGACAGAGCGCAATCGAATAGGAGTGCAATAATTGTGAGTAAAAAAATTTTTGGACATTAAATGTGTCTTTTGTAGAATTTAAAACCTACATGTAAAGTGTATTTTTATGACAGCAGTAGCTGTAAGTGGACTATTGTAATGGGTAAATCAAATGTAAGCTAGACACAGTACTAATTACTAAGCTCAAATGAGTTAATGTGTGTTTCTTATAGCAGTTAAAATGTTGTCATTTTCTTATTTTTAATTCAGTGATTTAACTTTTAATTGAGTTATTTTAATGCTTTAAAGAGCATTTTTAGATTTTAATGTTCTAATGTTCTGCTATCTGTTCTGCAAACTATAAAAGGTACAGCTGTAATACAACCAGAGAGAAAGGCTGCATGCAAGAAACTGAAAAAAAAAGAAAAAAAAGTCAAATAATAGTATATGAGACAGGGGTAATATCATTATGTTCCTATTGGTCAGTAGATGAGCTTAGATTAGTCTGACAGTTAGCCTGCTTTAGACCAGGGACCAGTTGCATAAACTTAGCCACCGTCTTAAGACTGTGTCTTAGAAAATAGTTTGACCAACTAACAGTTGCCAAAGGCTAATCAGTCTTACTTTTCCAATACAAATAAGACCAATCTACCTTTTCATAACAGAATTAAAAAAGCTATGACCAGTCTTGATGAAAAACAATTAGTTGACTAACTTTTTAAGACTAGTATAAACCATTTATGCAGGGGCGGATTTAGTGAATTGGGGGCCCCAGGCAAAATATAGGAATGGGGCCCTATACATTTGCACACATTTTCCTAGATCAACCTTGAGGTTCCATTTTGTTGTTTTCAGCGTAAGCCTGTGTGCAAAGGCTGTCTAATTCTAAACTTTAAAATACATTTATTTTTAGTTGTTTTAACTACAAATTTAAATAAAACTAAAAAAAATAAAGGCAATTATACATTTTCACACCTAAAATACATATATCATAAGCATGCTCACAGATGAGAACAAAACAGGTTGGATGAAGTGTATTTAGCCCGTCTTTTTCCCCCTTTTCCCAAAAAAAGTTATACTACTGTTTCAGCTAATAAAATAGTTCAGTTTTGTATGTAATGGAAAAGGGATTATATTTCGTTTCGTTTTTTATAAAGTAAATTTAGAGAAACATTGGGAGTATTTTTT